CAGTTGGCTACTTATTTCACGCACTTTAGTCTTTCGAAGCCTGAAGATTATCACTTTTCATGCAAATAAGAAAATCTTATTGTCACAAGGGTATTTCATCAGTCCTTTCGTCGTTTGTTCCATCAATATTTAACTAACTTCACACTTTCTTCTCCTCTTCGCCGTCTCACATGTACCACGATATATCAGACTCTTAACGAGTGTCTTCTGTGCTCACACCTTTGGCGATATATTATGACCTATTGCGGTCTATTTTGTCACAGCTTGACTCGGGTTTCCATGCATTCGCATTACTCTAGGCTAAAGTTATCGGAGCTAAAATACCAGTCGAAACGTCGGGTCCACCAAGTGTTTTCAGCCCTCCGCCCAGCTGGCTGAAATCACTTTCAAGCGATGTCACCCAAATTACCAAAATCAGCTCAGTTCTATCTACTCCTAGTTACATCACAAGTGGAGTTATGCAAGGTAGCGTTTACTGTCTACAGTAAAACTGCTTGCAACTGCTGTATCACGAGTGGGCATTTTCTATACTCCAGAGACATAAACTTTGTTCACTCACGTTGTAGTGATGAGCTCTATCGCTGTTATCACTATGAAGGATTTATTTCATGAGATGGACATGGTCATACCCGCAAAAATAATTGATGTCATCAAGGACAAAAATACACATGATACTAACCAACACTCATTTCGTTAAAACCCGTTTTATTTGTCTGCTCCTGAAATACAGGAAAGGCTCGATAGAGCCATTTACTCCGTGGGAACGAAAGTATAAGTGTACAAGAAATAGCGACAGACATCTCCACTCAATAGACTTAGCTTGGGTGATGTTGACTGTTAAGATGCAACGGAAGCCCGTAAATGGGACGTGAAGGGTTGTCACACAAGAAGTGTGTGACATTGAGAAGTTTCACGCGGATCAAAAGTGACAGTTAACTGAATGTCAGTAATATCAGTAATTCTCGTATCACATATTTGCCTTTTTATGTGATCAAACAAAGTACCTGCGTGGCTCTCTAGATGCTTTTTCCTTTCGTCCCTTCTGCCCACCTTATCTCTAGGGGCACGCAAGTATTTTTGGGCAACGAAGTCTAGCACACGGTAAAAACTTTTAGTGGCATCCTCTTTGAGCAAGCACGTGCCCTTGGATAGCATTCATCTGAGAGGCACGACGGTAATGTGGATGTGGAACGGCGGAGACGTTTTCTCTAGGTGTTAGATAAAGGAATTGGTGAAACGGAAAATTGACAAATGCTTAGATATGCTGCGATCGCTGTCGTGCGAGACACTTCCCCTGCAATGGAAGAGGAAGCTCGCGAAAACGCCCATCACGAAAACGAAGTCGCATCCGAGGAGGACGTTAATTGAATTTATGGAGAAGTGGCATTATTACCTCACACTTCTTAGGTGGAAGGACGATGCACCTATAAAGTACGTCACCTACGGAAATCCAACTATATTCATGGTCTGCTGCTTGCGCCAAAATATACCCGAATTATATGGTAGAACAGGTCATCGGAAAAATTAGGGTGGTCACGTTTTACGGATTTACCGTACGGCCCACAGAAGTTGGAGTGGGACAGTAAGTATGTACAGAGAAATATTCCCCTAAAATTAGCGTGCAGAGGTAATGGCAGGATTCTCTTATAGACAACTGGGCCGGAATACAAAAGGAAGTGTCGACGCTCAGTGGCCTTCTATGCATATAGGTCACCAAGTGTGCGACATTTCCTCTGTAAATCCCTTCAAGTATCGCCTTCACAGCTACTCGTCCCACCACCTACAGCCAGTATACTTTCTTAAGTATTCTCCTCTTCATTTCACGTGAAAAGCCCAAACACAGGCTGATAACTTGATAACTCGAATCCGACTAGTTTCTGCGCTCTATTGTATAGCTTTCGAACTTCCACTGGTGACGCACAATCAAAGGTTAAATCAAAATACCAAAACATGATTTGTAGTAAGTTAGTGGTAGATTCGTGAAAAAATCTGTGGTACTATCAGAGCAACAATAATTTATATCAAAATTACAAAATATCTCAACAGTGCCGTTGGGTGACTATACAGTCAGAAACGTTCTTGGGTGCAAATACGTACTATACGGTGAAAACTGGTTAAACAGGTAAGACTGTCAAGTACCTGAAAGTCAATAAGAATACTCCCGGCAGAAGGGATCAAAACTCTGTCTGCCGGAATCAATCCAACAAATAAACGTCTCCAGTAGACAGTCGAAAGACAGACAGTCAAATCATAGTACAACCGTGAGTTAAACCAAAACAGAGTGTCGGGCGCAGTAAAACAACATCACCTTGTCAACAGTTCAGAGTCATATAATAGGAAAAAGGAACATTAATGATAAGTCTTAATCGCACAAAGGCAAGTACTGGGTAAAAAGTCCAAGAAGACAGTCAAACAACCAACTAACATTACACCGGCTAGGGTCAAAGGTACACCATCCATAACGAGGGTAAAAATATTAAAATAAATGTCAATACAACCAAATAGGGTGATCAGGATGGGTTTTCAGATCATTTTCCTGTTACAACCGGTATCACGAAAGTCTATGAGGGCATTTACGACGAGTGTATCAGGAGTAAGACTAACGTCCTACGTGGCTTCCGAAATGCAAGAGACCCCGTTAGTTATTGTTGCTGAAGTGAGACTACCGATATATTGGTGCAAGTCATTCAGCTGCAACTTTGAGCATGTTTCGGTCCCCGATATCGATTTTGAAATTATGGAGGTTGACAAGACGCCGCAGAACGTGAGAACTTATTAGCCTCCTAGGCTGCTCAGGGGTTGGACCGTGACTACAGCAGGGTTGTGTGCAAGCAATTACTTATAGTACCATTTTTTTACGCTGACATATCATCAAAGAGCAATATCTCCGGCCTAATGTCAGGGAATAACCACGCTTGTGCACAAAGATAGAGGCGATACAAAGTACTGAAAACTTTCTCTCATCTCGTCTGTGGCCAAGAGTGTGTAGTGATAAACAAGCTTCTCCCGCTCAGAAGACTGTGGAATTCATTTTTGCCCGAGTCGTGGTATGAGTTCAGGGCACATGGATATCGCTACATTAATCTACTAATGCCGTGAACTAGCCTAACCATGTCCATCACACGCATTAGAATTGGGGATTTCTTATGCATAAAGTAATCTTGCTGGGACTTTCAGAAGACCAACATCTAGTAGGCTATTTTGTTAAAGGTATGGTCTACCATCGCCTCAGTGGTCAGTACTTTCTGCCGGGTTTCCATTGCGTTCCGTACTCGGTTATTTGTAATCTTCGCAACTAATTGTTTTCGTGTACACATACAGATGTGTATTCCGAATTTTCGGAGGAAGGTTGAAAATTTCATCAATTTTCGCCTTCAGGGAAGACTTGGAAGAGGTGAAGATCGTCCCTGACGAAAACACTGTTGCCTGGCATGAGTAAATGCGAAATGAGGCTATTGAAGGACAATACTAAAAAAACCATTTTTTTTCTCTGTGAGTGGCAGCCCCGTACCAAGCCTCACTGCTAAGACTGACTTGAAGTTATTTCAGCCGCAAGCCGTATCATCTTTGAACTTGGCAAGACATCTGTGAGTAGAAACTTTGTTATCCCCGGTTTTCTGTCAAGAGCTTTATAGGGCCGAGCATCCTAACTCCCTAAATTTTTCTGTACCCTGCACATTCGTAAACTTCTGAGAGGGAACTCAGTAGTCATGTTACCATTCTTAAAAATTCTTTCTATTTCACCACATAAGTTCAGAAATGAGCAACCAAGAAGGTGAATGAGTTAAATGCATATTACATGTGGAATTGGTGGAATGTTGGTGGATAAGTCTGAGCATTTAATCTCAGTATCCTATGGCGCCGGAAAATATTCTCATTCTAACGCATCATTATCGAAAAATAATATTATCTCCTTAAGGCTGAACAAGAAAAGTCCAGAATAAAATTTCCCTCCGAAACTTTCTTCGTTAAAGAAAATTGGCTGCAGGACCCACTTCTTCAGAAGATAGCAGTGACCTCAATACCTAAAGCCTTCAAACGAAACTTCAAAATCCGCCATCGTGATTAGCGAAAGGCACTTTTAGTCCATCTGGGAATTCTTCAATAGGGAAAAGACTGTCCATCCTGCTCGGCATGGCTTTCGGAGTGGTCGCTCATGTGCCATCAACTTACTAACCGCCTGGGTCGACTGGACACAAAGCTGAGATATCGGAAAACCGGTACATTTTGTATTTCTCGACCTAGCCAAAGCATTTGACAGTGTCCCACCCACAGAACTGCTTCACAAGATCATGTCAGCTGGTATAAGTGGACCCCTACTCTCTTGGTTCAAGGAGTACCTGGAAGGGAGGCAGTTCTGCACTAAAGCGAACAGAATAAGGTCGGAGTGGAGACCCTCGACGTCAGGAGTATCCCAAGGAGCAATCCTAGGACTGCTTCTATTCCTCTTTTCACCCTCCTTTTCTTCTCCTTCCCTTCTCTCTTCCCTATATTACTATTATTTTTTTCCTCTTTTTTATTCTCTCTTCATTCCTTTACCATCACCTTATCATTCTCTTTCAGGTACCTATACAGACAGGGGTCACAGCAGTTATCTACACTTCCCAGCAACCCGTAGCTCCCTGATCACTCTACAAATTTCAACCTATTAACCCACAAAACATCCACCTCGCCGGAGCTAAAAGCAAGAAAGCAGAGGGTATTTCCTCGTCCACTGCAGGAGTAAACCGAACAACTCGAACCAAGTTCTAAGAACTAGACGCGAGAGGTCAAAAACTACCAGTTTTCTACGCTCGCACTATCAATATTGGATATTGGATGCTATACACGAACATTCTTTAGAGAATACCAACTGCGATGATCGACGGTGGGGAAATAAAACAGTTCCTGTCTAAGATCTTATCCCGCTTTCACATAAATGATGTCATAAAACCTTTGGTTTACATATGACTCGGGAAAAAATTCTTAAAATACTATTGGACTTCGAGAGTGCTGACACCGCAACAGTAACAGCGGGTAAATCAAACTATTAGAATAGTGGACTCATTAATCCTGGATCCAAAACTGGTAGTTACCAAACGGTTTTCGGGCATGTTTGCCATTAACTATGAGGCAAACTTTCTGGATCATAGGAAGATCAGCATATGTTTGACTTACCTAGGCCCCAACAGTGACGAGGAAGCTTTCAATACTGTTTATTGTTCACTTCAGAACCACTATGAGTTCACGTCCATTCGAAATCTTGGTTAGTTACAGATTAAATGTAGTTTTAACGGTGAATTCACTGCGACTTGTATGTGCACATATGTATTGAAATTTTTTCCATACTTGTGTATTTTATATACATAAGCATATTGACATGCATATGTAAGTGCTACGCGGTGTGATGTTTTGAGAAGTATTACTTCCTGTGACGCTTTAGAATATCTCTGATAAGAGATAGGGGTATTATTATATGAGTATTTTTCGAAGGAACAAGAGTTTTTGATCGATGGACGTTCATCGGTACCTAAACTGACTGTGCATTTTGAAGAAGGTTATAGACAGAGTAAATATTTTTATCTTTTCCTAATGTAATTTCTGCTTATGTTCATTTCACTATGTATACATATCTGTTGATGCTGAAAATTCTACAGAGTATTCCCGAAATAAAGTTCCAATATCCAATATTGATAGTGCGAGCGTAGAAAACTGGTAGTTTTTGATCTCTCGCGTCTAGTTCTTAGGGCTTGGTTCGAGTTGTTCGGTTTACTCCTGCAGTGGACGAGGAAATCCTCTCTGCTTTCTTGCTTTTAGCTTCGGTGAGGTGGATGTTTTGTGGGTTAGTAGGTTGTAATTTGTAGAGTGATTATTATTATTGCTATCGATCAAAAGCTTTCGTGTTCAGTACTGAATAAAATATAGTTTATTATTATTATGATAAAATCGAAAAATTATGGTCCTTAAAGTGGGTTTAGAGTTACTTCAAGGTAGGCTTAGTTACCGTAGGGGATACCAAAACAGTTTTCAACATACTGAGTAATCTAAGTCACTCGAACAGTGAAATTTTAGCGGACAATCTTCTTGGCGATAATTGTGGGAATCTAAAAATAATTACCCACTGAAGGGCGTAAACCCGGATGCGTGCACGGTTTTTATCACTTGGATCCTGCCACCGCTGAAACGTATTACCTCCTATGGTTACCACTGCGACGTCTGTTAACAGCTTCAGGAAAAGTTTGGAAAGCTACTCAGTGACACATGGTTTGCGCTCACCCAGTTAATATACAGACGGCCAAAACAACCAAAGGACTTGGCGTCATTACAACACAGTCACCTTCATAGCGACTATTCTTCATCGCCATTATTATCATCAACTTGGCAAAATCGTATGTTTCCCCATTAGACGCCTTAACTCTCCAGTTATCATACCACTACTATCATGATTTCTATTTCGACTATCTGTGCTGAAGTCTTCACTGCTTCTTTTCCCCCCTCTGCTTTAACAATTTCATCCTATTCATTGACGTTCTGCATATCATTGTTGTCTTCCATATATATCCTTGGTTTACCTGGGTGTTTTCTTTCATTTCATCCTACTCTTTTTACTCTTGATTTTCTCATTATCCCTCCTCTGTTACTAGGTTTCTTTTCATCCTTCTAATCCTTCTTTTACTATGACCTCGAATAGCTGTCTATTGACACGACATTTAAGGAACCCGTCTGCATCTTGGTTGCAGGACAAATCGTACACCTCCTTACAAATTTAACCGACACCTAATCACCCATTAAGTTTGTCAGAGCTGAAGCCGTTGACTGATTAGGTCTACTACATCGAAATCCAATAAGGACCTGGAATCATTCCACTGTACCTAGAATCAAGCATGTCGAAATCATTTAGTTCATGAAAGTTTGGAGAATAGATATTGGATATTGAAAGCTGCGTAGCTTACTGTCGAGCTAGACATTTTTAAGTTATGCCATTTGAGTAAGCATTTACTGGTGTTTTAATAAATTAGATTCTACACAGTCGTTGTGCACTCATCTCTCGAGTAATTTGTATTGTTTGAAACTAAAGAAATCGGTAATGAAGAATCTGTAATTCATCATTGAATACTATGTAATACCATGACTCTTGCCCCTGATGCTCTAGCATTTCAGTTTCATGCGAACTAATAGTTCCTTAGTGCAGAAGAGAGAACTTAATTATCAACATTTTGTTATTTCGTGACTTAAATACTTGTTAACCTACTTTTCACGCCAGTTTTTGCGCTTATTTCTGGCTGCTAGATTGTAACTCTTATCCTAATTTTTGAAGCTGACTGTCAACTTTTGACCAATGATCTCGATTCATGCTCTCTAAGTGGGTAAATACCCACTCCGAAAACTAGATTTTGGTAATTTTTGTATTATTTTACTCAAAGTAGGAAGTTATAGTTTCTAAAACCATCTGCCATAAATCAACACGCAATCCACTAGCTTCTAACTAGTAATCCAAGGACGACACTATTTTCCGATCCTACCCAAGGCCATAGATTTTAAAGTACTGGTTGTATCAATCTTCAAGGATGATCACAAACAATCACTTTCTGGGTTGATTGAAGTATTTATTCTATTATGTAAGTCGAACAACGTACGTAATCTTTCAGCGTTTGGCTTCCCCATTGTCTAAGAAATGAAGAAATTTTTTCGATGGACTTTAACTTCAATTAGAAACCACATTTTAAGACAGCAGTCTGGAGTTGTGGTAAAGTCGTGTGTATTTGGTCTTTAATTTCTTCGTATGCTGCAAGCCGTTGTATTTTTATTTCCCAGCCTGGATATTGGGCTTAAATCTCTCGGTATTATGATTGGAAGACACCGTGCATCTCAGGTAGATACTAAAAAGATGTATAAAATCACCAACAATGTTTAGTAATACATCCATTTCTGTTATATTTGGATTTCAAACAATTCTTTTGTATAGCATAACTCGCCTGTGTGCGACTTACTTTTTTGACTGCAGCAGGGGGTGCTCAGTAATATTCACCATTGGATTTTTTTGTTTGCAGTAAATTATTGTAGGTTCTGGTTGCCACTCATGAAGAATACTCCAAATACGTAAAGATTCTTTTACGAATTTTCGTTGTTTAGTTGACATTAGTTTCGTGTAAGAGGAGATACTGTCAAAATGTGAGGCCATGTAAATACCTGTGGCGTAGGTCTGGAAATGTTTAGTGTGCTTCTATCAGTTTCTTGACGTAAAGATGTACCAAAACTTCATATACAATCTCAGTACCATCTCAGTTAACCACCTGCCTCACCAACCTGGAGAAGTGCACCAATCCTAGAGTGGTTGATGTCACTTGGATGTCAAAGCTAACATTCTCGATGTAACTCAACAAAGAAATGCAGGCTTTTGCATTAGACAATGGGTTAAATATGTTGCTTGAAAGTGTATGATACTACGTGACTGCTCTAGCCTCGCTTGGTGAAGCAGTTTTTGAGTTAGCGACTTACTGATTACAAGTCGATCGTATGAATCATTGTGTCGTAAGTGTAATCGATTTTTTGAATGCTGCTGTGAATTGTGGCAACTTGAACGGATGGGCTTCTGTGCGAGGCAATGCGTTGATTTTGTCTATCTGTCCGATGTAATTGGTCCCATTTACGAATGATCTATGAAAAACAATCATCGTCGTGTTATACAACTGAGAATCGACAAAAGCAGGTGATATTAATTGGCTGCAACCGCAGTATTATTGGCTCTTTCGTGTCATTGCTTGCGTGCTGGAAGTGTCAAGTTAGAATTGTATGAGCTGAACCATTTGGTTAGTCTGTAGATAGGATCAATTAAGATAATTTTGGTTGCTATCTATCGATGGTCTCAGCTTTCGAGGAAACTAAGTTTTTTATAGCTTTAGGTGATATGGTTGTTTAGTGATGAATTGATGCAGCTCACATTTAGTGTAGGCAGCACCATTCCTTTCATGTCCATTTTGTAATAATTTTTTGGGATGTAGTTTGAATACCTACTATTGTATCTTTTCAATTTTACATTTCGTTTCTTTTTTCGCTACCTTTTGTGTTTTTGGTTTACTATGATTTGTTCCGGAATACTTTATGCCGGATTACGCATTGTTTAGTCTATCAGTCTATATAGTTTGCAGTGCAGGGAAAGCATTTAAAATGATAAGAAGTGGTTTATAACTTGATGTTATGAGAATGATTAGCAACAGTGCAGTGAAATATTCCCCATTTTGAATTCATGCAACCCCTATAATGCTTCTACGTTTTTTTCTAGGTTCGAAAAATGAATATTTACTAGATAGTGGGAAGCGTAGTTCTCTCTCGGATACCTCTGAAGTACACAGCGACATTGGGTTTTCAAGTTCTACCAATCGGCAGCCAATTTGGTTAAGATTTACCAAGGAACACAACCCAATAAACAATGCATGGAGTTGTTTTCAATCTTATCGAGCTACTTTAGGACTACTTGCATTCACTTGGTGTTCTAATCGTAATGAGATTCAATCAAGGATTAAGGACTATGTTAAACACAAGGTAACCTTTTCTTTTGTTCAAAATTCATATCTTCTACTGACAGTTGGTACTGCGACGTTGTTTATAAATTCATAATTGGGCTTTTGTATTCTTAGTTAATACAGATCATATTCTGGTAGTGCTTGGTAAGTTCGAAGAGGAAAAGGAATTGAAATTTTTGTAGCAGTACTGATTATTAACCCATGATATCAAATCCTAAACCTTGAAAACCTTGAAAAATATAGTTAATGGATTCCTTTTCACGCGAGTCCAAACGACATGGTGGTATTTAATAAACACTGATTATTGTGGACTTCAGTCCACTTAATGTGTGGGTAGTCCTAGATAAGGTTGGATATAAGGCATCATTAGACGAGGAGGCGTTTACTCCCGTGCTTTATGTTCAAAAGTTTGGATAACTTTCCAACTACACTGTTTATTTAGTTGGTTTGATGTACCTGAATTGGGGGTGCTGACAGGTTGATGATCGATTGAACAACCGAAATGATATGACTTAGTTGATTGACAACTGCTAGCGGTGATGTTACTACTAGTTGATTGTGATCGACCTATACTAATTTCCAAAACCGGAACCGAGTAGCTAAAAAAGACGTAGTCAAACTGGTTATTGACTTGTTATCGTGTCATCTACCTGATAAAACGATCCTATCGTTCATACGCGAAAATCCAAAGCATAGTGTGATTAGTTATTGTCACTCAAATAATAAGCAGTCAAAAGTAGCAATGGAACCCAATAGGCAGCTGATGTGTTCTTGTAAATGCATGCGAAAGTGTAACAAACAAAGAGAAAGTGTATGAAAAACGAATCGTAATGAAGTATGAAGAGTGTGACAAGTTAACGATGTTGAAGCAATGAGCAGTGTTATAATTCACTACAATTTTCAATCGCAATAGAGATGGATTTGTCATACGGAGTTGTAACTGTGATCAAACTTTCGGATATAAATTAAGGTACATATTCCTTTGATGCACTTCAAATAATTTTAAACTATTTCCGTCATCAGTAAGTCTCACAAATTCGGAGACAATGTCTTTGTAAAGTTCAGCCTTTCAAGGGTGGCGAAAATCTCGTAATCTGCTGTCGTATTCACATCTATTTTTCCTCTTCTAAAGTAAAATCTTTGTTTTCAGGATTTGTTTAAACGGTTAAATAACTTAATAAACTGTCCACATGGCTTTCTGAATAAAACCTCAGTAAATGGTCTTCTTAAATGAATAAACTGCTACTTTGAGGTCAAAAAGTAAACCCAGAAAAACAGTGTCAGAGGACCCTTCATCATTACCAAAATACTAAATGCCATTGTAGAGGAAAATCAATTGATAAAATAGTAATATATTGAGGAAGGAGAATATAAAAAAATAAAGAAGTTGGGTAGACTTAAGGCACAAAACAACATGTCTCTTTTTAACAGTAAAAAAATGGGGTGGATCCCTATGACTTTCACTGGTTAATAATTATATCATGTTAAGTCTCCAACCACTCATTTTAAATTTTGTGGGACACAACCAGAATGCTTGGAATGAACAACATTATCCATGCTAGTGGCTAGTTGAAGTTTAGCAAAATGATTATTCCTCAAGAAAGCTGTGGCTCTTTCTTCTAAGCATTCAACTTTTGATTTGTGGGTCATCGGTTCGAAAGCCTCTCCACCTCTGGAGTTTTGGGCATTCAGGTAGTCGCATTAGTAATCCTCACAAAATTGTTGGTTTACTGTCTATCATGCAAAACTTATGAATACTCTTTTATTTGAGTGCACTGATTTAACTCGATTACTCTAAGGCTTCAGTTCGAAATACTATGGTCATGATTTGACTACCTCAAGTAGTGAAGTTTTATAACTTTGGCTAACATGTGCGTCTTAATTCAAGCAATCCTTAATATCACTCAGTGGCTCTACTACACGCAAAAAATACTTCAAAAACTGCCGTCAAAATATCTCCAGCTTTTTCATACTTGTTTATCTTCAAGTGCTGTATCCATCACGTGTAAAGTGAAGACATGCTCGTTTCTGTGTTTCACTCCTTTAGTGAAGTGTGAAATTGACTGCTGTACAATAACTTGCTCTTTCAACCAAATTGTGTCATCAAATCTGATATAGGTATGATTCACTAAGAAGTACGATTCTGAGACCACTGCGTGTACTGATAACACTTAACGAACTTCATACATTTTGACACAGTGTTAGACAAGTAATGTTTCATAACCAGTGTACATTACCTGGTTAAATTTAGTACTACGAACGAGTCCAGTCAACTGTTGCGTATGTATTGCTATCACTTATAAATTCTATAATTGATACTACCATTTGGCAAGTATTTCAGGCTTCATTATACACAAGTCATGTCATCTGTACCCTCATAGTTTTATTTTTCATGCGATCAGCAGTCCATTTTTTTTGACTACTGTTGATCTGAGTCGTAAGAGGAGATCTACACTGTCTGGTTGGGGTGTCCAAGACGATGGGAATCAGTGGTTGAGGACTCTTGATGACATGGATAAAAATCTGTCACAATGGTGCAGATGTATTCATTCCTTGACATTTCCTAAAGCTTGAATATTTGCACTAACTGTTATCTTCAGATTGTTTATACTCTCATACAACTTTGTCTACTTTGATATCACTCCTTTTGTGTTCACTTGTCCTTTGAATACTACTGTGAAGTGTGGCCACTTGAGCCGATGCACATATGTGCGAGGTTCGACTTTGATTTTGTCAGTGTCAGTCAGTGACTACTATACATTGTGATGTATTTAATCACTAGTTTTGTCATTTACTAGTCTGTTTTATATGTTTGTTAAATATCTGTGTTTTCATTTCTTAACCAGAAACTTCTGTCAGATACACTCATCGGGAGTCGTCTCTTTCTTTTATTGAGACCATTGAACAATGAATGTGATTCAATATCAGTTGAAGAAGCAAATGTTTTTGTTGCTGAAAAACTCAAAGAGGTAAGTTTGGTTTTCCACAGTGAATTATTTCCATGATGACCCTTTCTAATTCTGCTGAAGCTGATATACTAAGTTTTTATTCCACGGTGAAATGTTTATAAGTGACTGTTAATCGCCAATGAACCAACTGCAGCATTCAAGAGTTTATCATACTAATGTAGCCGTTCAATTTGTTTAACCAGAGAAATTATGATGAACTAAAAGTGAAAAGAAATATTAAAATGTACTAGAAAGACAAAATAGGAAAAAAACAGAAGATTCAGATAAGAGATGAAGTGAATGAATTCAAAGCCACTGTCATTGTTAAAGCTTTCTGCAAATAATTATTAAGACTTATTGATGTTTGATTATCAACAGCGGTCTCTATGATCAAGATTTTTCTTATTGAATTTATCGGAGTTAAATTGAGTACAATTTTGAAGTGGTTTCTCAGTAACTGATTAACTTTATCCAGTTATCTGTAAAATAATATCATCTTAGAATCTGTTGTGTTCTAATGAAGGATACATCTTCATATAATTCGAATGTAGTCGTTATCATCCAATAAGATAGTTGATAGTCAACTGAATACAATGGAGCAATAGATATCTACTGTATCTTGATGCGCATCCTTGATCTTTGCTCACTGTCCACCCTTTCTTAGGCGACATCTGTAACCTTAAAGTTCGCTCCTTATACGCCTCTCTCTTGATACATGTAGCATCAAAAACTGATGCACATCTGTGCTAGGTTGTTTTGTGTTAATTTGTTGACATCCGAATTTATTGGTTGGCATCCATAAACTCCATTTTAGGTTAAAAGGTTTTGTATTTACTTTTCTTACATCGTAGCAAACAGCAGCAAGGTTTATCTGTAAAGTTTCAGATTTTATGCGAACATTATCCATCTGTTGTTGTAAACAAAATTGTCGGTCCTGAGCTGTTCACATGACTATTTGTAGAACTAAATTTTGCACATCACTCGGTGTCTAAAACCTCACCCTAAAAATGGAAATACATTCTTTACATTATTCGGATTATTATTTTCAGGTTTTCATGATCGTAATACATTTCCTTCTTTTTATTACTACATATGCGAAATACTCTTGCCTGTTTTCTGCACAGGACTCCGTATTACTAAGTGAAATAGTATGTCATCCTGCAGATCACCTCTTTGCATCAGAAACAAATATTCTAAAGGATTCTGGTGTTTATACTGCAACAGATGACTGCCCTTCTATAGCTGATAAGTCAACCAATCTAATCAGGCCACCTTTTATCAATCATCGGATCGGTTCAACGCTTCAAGAATTGGTTTCATCAATATATTGGAGTCTAAAGAAAATGATCACAGCTCGATGTTCAAGTGATATAAAATTTAAAACAAAAGAATCAAGTTTATCTAAGGAACAGGTGGACACTGGAGATGACGTCCTAATGGCTCCAGAGGAAAATGAAGCAAAATGGAATATTATTGATGAAACTAAGCGGAAAATCCTGGGTCGTTCGAATGCATTGTCTGCTTTATCTGCTTTTACAGAACGAACAGGAGCTACAAGTTCTGTTAGTGCTCAAGCAGATGTAAGGTTAGTCATAAGTTAAACATCAGTTTGAAAAATATTCGCCATTTATTTTTATATATTCCGATTATCTTCGCAAGCATTTGGATGGATTTGATACATATTGAAGAGACCTAATCGGGAACATTCAGTACTATTTCCGTATCACATATGAAAATCCATGATCTTGAATTATGTCGTTTTGTGCTACGATGTAGTTTCCCTCTGGATGTGACGAAATAGTAATGAGGAACCATTAATATCGCATTAGCATTTGCGAAGAATAATTGTATCTGCACTTCACAGCATTCAAATAACAGCATTTCAACCACACTGACGTGATGAAGTCTCTATCCGTTAGACTGCATAAAACTTATTGAATGGTTTGGGAATTTTGTTAACAAATTCATTGGTTGAACGTTGTTTGTTTTTTAATTATTATTATTGTTTTCAGCAGCACATGCAATTCAGGATGGGTCATCATCCTCTTCTTCAATACTGCAGACCTCTATTATTTGCAACATGCGACAACCAAATGATTGGTTACATAATGCGCCATAGTTTTGGACTATTCGTGGAGTTTTTAAAGACTCAAAGCCATCTATAAACGGATAAATAGAGGTCATTTGCATCGAAAAACAGCCAAAAAATGTGTGTATTACTTAAGGGATAAAGAAGGTGACTATAGGGAAGTTCTCATTGTTTTCAATGAAGTCATTTTGGTAATTGCGTGACTATGGGTGCTTGATACAAGAGATAGTATGTTTCACGTGACCTACACGTCAGAAATCAAGGTTAATAGTAGTAATAACTAGTAGTGGTAGTAATAAATAATCGAATATAGCTATATGAAGAGTGGTTAACAGTTAGGAAGTAAAAAGGTTCTAAGGAATATCACGATTTTCAAAAAAGATAGGAAGTTCATTGCTATAGTTATAGTAAAGACAATGATTATACCTACCTTAGAAATTCGAAACTAAGGATTGAAATCGTTAGTTTTCAATTCTTTAGAGGCATATAAACTACTTAACTTCTCTTCCTTTGAATAGTTTGATTAGCTTTCGTAGTGCATTTTCAAGAATTTCTCGAAAGCTGGATCTGTCAAACTTATAACATGCGCTTACTAAACAGCTAAAGATAGATTTCCATTTCTTTTGTCGATGAAATCGGACTGTGTTGATGAACACTTCCAGCAGCTGAGAAAACTAATCAGTGCTTGTACATAACTTGATGAAAATAATCTTACTTGTAAATATGTATGTTTTCATAACTTGCCTAATTTTGAAGTGTTTGGAAGCTCATCTAAAACATTTTGGTTTACGTCTGATATATTTTAGAATAAACATGACTTTATTGAAAGGAGTATCAGTTTCTAATTTCATTTTCTTTTTGAAGTCAGCAGCCTTAGAAAAAAGCTTCTTTCTTTTCTGTATTAGTTGTAAATTGAAAAACACAGTATAGATGTATTGAATTCGTAGCGTACAGTATTATATACTTGTCAGTGGATTGAATTTCACCGTTACTCATAACATTTTTTCTCCTAAAAAGATTACTTTCAATTCTTAATTACAGTTTTGAGTGGTTCGGGTAAGTAAGTGGTCTAAATATTTCGCATCATTGTCACCTACAAAATATATTCTTAATCCTTGAAAGCTTCAACTTTTGGGGTGCTTTGCCTAAGAAGATTTTTTAAAAACTTGTGGTGTCTTTCTGTTAACACAGTTTTTATCTGGGTGAGCATTTTGTGTTGTTTAAACTGATCTCCATTATGTGACGACTACTGACCACCGTACAACAAACTGTCTATACAAAACTAACGACGAAAGGTGTCCATTAAGTCATATGGACAAGAAACGGGAAATCAGTGAAGAGTGTTTTCTTCCCTACTAATTAAATACCCTATACTGAGTTATAAAAGAATGAAGAATTCAGCGAACAAATTTGTTTTCGGCGATATCCTCTACAGCTGTACAGTAGCATTTAAACATATATGATGTAAATAAAAGTGTTAATATGTGTTAATCAATGATTGTTAGTGGTTTGTAGCTATGACAACGACATGGGAATGGAATTATGTCGGAAATATGAACTGTAAAATTTAAGAACTAAGAAGTGAATAAAGACAGAAAATGGCAAAGGCGCTTCTAGATACACAATTCTGGTTTCTATTGTATTGCCAAAGCTCTGTGTCAACGCAAAGTAAGTGTTTCCTCACATCCTTCGGTAGATTACGTTTCACTTTGTAGAATATTACAAACGAATCTTCTGGAACTGTGTCTGCTATCAGCGAAATGTTGTAATAAAGACATAGTAATCTATTTGCATCAACCTTTACTGGGCCATGCCGGAAGGTATTTTGCGTAATTTCCATTCCTATGTTGTTTTCATGGCCGCAAACTACTAACAGTTATTGCTTAACAAATATTAACATTTTTACTTACACTATATTTAAATACGATTGTACAGCTACAGAGGATGATATCACCAAAAACAAATTTGTTCACTGAACTCTTTATTCTTTGCTAAAACTGTACAACTGTACTTTTAAATATTAGAAACAGATTGCCGACTATTTACTAGTCAATAGAGTCATGTGGCTACTTTAATGATCAAAAGCAGAATAAAAAGATGTTTCTAAAGGCAGAAAGCAGTTACATAGTAATATATTAGTAATAAGACAATGGTGAAAGGAGAGATGGAACACAGAGATGTGAGTTGAATATTGATGCATTGTCACTGCGTCCGCGAAATCGTATTCCTTTGGACCTGTTTATTTCCAGTTCACACCTCGTACATCGGATAAATAATGCATTACCTTTAAGTTTCTTTCTACTTTTAGAATCATCTGTTATATTCTACTCTTGATCGTTACGGTAACCCCATAACCCTATTGACTGGTACTAGTCTGTTATTTTTTTCCAATACTTAAAAATACGGTTGTATAACTCTGAGTAAATGAAAACGTAGGAAAAAAAATTATCCTCATTGGTTTGCCTTCTCTTCTCTGCATGTCTTTCTAATGATTGTAACCTGGTGAATTTCGTTCTTTTTCTTGTAGGTAAGACAATTTTCGATAACCGGTGTATTCTCTTTGATACCATTTCTGCTTATTCTGTTTCTGTTTATTCGAGATATCGTCACCTCTTCTTTCGAAGCATTTCTTTAAGAAATTTTTAATGCTTAAACGAATAGGTGTGCAGTATGGTTGAGGAAATTTCTTTGATGGTGTAACTTTCTTGTTACCTTGACACCCACTTAATTATCGTTAAAGTATAATATGTCATTCGATCCGGTAGGTGTTTATGCACTATGCTATGGGGCACACTTGTTTTGTGAGGACTTATGGTAGCACCTAGTTTTCCTGGTCGAAGTAGATGAAGCGGAGTTCGGACCCGGAACCTGTTGCTTAAAAGTCTACTTTTTAAGCCATAAAGGCCACACCTTGTTGAAATACTTATTATATCAAGGTATATGTTTTTGTTCTTCAAGTATTTAATTAATTTAACGTAAATGTTTTGCGTTTGTTGAGTTTTCAGTATTTATATTTGGCTTCTTGTGTGTCTGTATTGCTGGAAATATAGACTGAGGGCTAGTCTTGGGTTCGTTGAAGTGATAGCTATCAGACATCGATATCATACGTAGATATACTGTTACTAATCTAAAGCACAGAAACCACATTGTGTTTCAAGAAATATCTGTTAACAGAGTTAGGTATAACGGGCTAGTTGATCGTACAGCTTCAGCACGAGTGAACTCGGGTTACGTGTAGTACTAGCAACAGGAAAATACTCAAAAGAAGGCGAATGTACAATCAGTCAGCTAAGTGTAGGACGGTCTTCAGACATCTGTGTCATGAATAAACAAATATTTCTCAATTATTTCTTTGTTCAAAACAACTCTGGTATTTGGTGGAGCCACAAGTAAGAGATCCGCGTTGAGATCATAAGTGCAGTTTTTTGTTAGTGTTTTTGAATGGGCATCAAATAAACTTGCAACTACATTCTTCATTCACTGATATGCGTTGTCGGTTGAAATATCGGTAGTCAAAGCATGGAAGAATCTTCACGTTCGTTAAACCACAATTTTTAAGCTTCTTTGACATTTCTTGTAAAATGATGAAAAAGCAGTGGTTACAGCATGTGACATGGCTCAAAATCCATTCCATGTGGTTTAGATGCAATTAATCGGTACTGTTTTAAAAACTATCGTATATCCTAATTGTGTAATTCGTTATGCTTTTCCATTCCTCTTTTTTTGGTTTCGTTCGCCTTTACTGTTTTAACGTTTGATGTGGCAGATATCTTCCGGGATTGTATATACTTTATCATGGTGGAATCCTTCAAAACATTCCATCAATCCATTCAGCAGTTTCAAAATGGCTTTTGACAATAGTGAAATAGTGAAAAGGAATTATAAAGCACTTTTTATATTTTAGTATAACTTATCCTCAAGCTGTGCTGGGATTCAACAGCTGGAGAGGGAACCCTGAATAATCACTTAACTTCGTGTCCCATGCGTGAAGTATCCAAAAGTCTAATTTCTATTTTCTCCTTTCTATACATCATCTGTTGCCTTTTCAGCTATTGAGCATTGTTTTAAACAGCTGTGTTATTAACCTCTGATTGTAAGTCTTTTCACTCTGCATGCCTTAAGGTCTGGTCGGGTAACCAAAGTAAGTCTGCATCATTCAGTGTTAGTCGGTACATACTTTATGTTTGTACAGCTCGTATTTCAGCTTTTTGAAGCTGAAAAGAATGCTTATTCTCTTCGTTTTCCTTTTGTGGTGCTGTTGATGAATTTGTGTCTTCCTTTTGTCGTCGGTTTGTAAAATGCCAGTTGGATAAATTATTTATCGATTACAATTTCTTGACAAACTTATAAAAAAAGTAAATTAAAATCTATGCAAGTAACATCACATGCAAATAGTATTATTTTCCTTTTCTATCAAAATACGCATCTGTTTGTCGGTTACAAATTGGCATGTTGCAGTTCTAATTGTGATATTTTCAGTAATGTTAATGCTAATT